CCATGTCCACAGGATGCTGTCAGAAAAAGCAGCGAGGTCGTCAGTGCAGATCAGTGTGAGTGGGTCTAAGATCACATACGATCGTCCACCTATTTTTGCTTTTGATGCAGGTTGATTACCCACCACCATCTGGTAGTGGGTCATGAACGGCCGACAGTTTCGATCGATTTCCACACCTCCCTCCCCCACAACCGGCTCGTTAAACTTCTGAATACCTTCAACTCGACGGCGAAAAAAGAAGTTCGTAGGTAAATTCAAGGTAGACATCTCCGTCTCAAGGAATTACAAATTCCAGTCTGCGGGGATAAGTTTGGGGTTGCATTATCGACCAGGGATCGTCTCCGCAATCCCAAACACTGCAACGAAAGGATTCTCGCGAGGATACCCGACGATGTATGGTGTGACTGCAACGATTTTCGTAAAGGGACAATCAGTGAGAGATACCCTTTCTCGGAGCCTGATGCCAAAGTGGTGCCAGGAAAACTATCTCACTCAGAGAACCGGTTCGAGGGCACGGAAAAGAAAGCGACCAGTGTATTCCAACGTGGTTGTGGGCCCACGGTCTGCTACCCCCCTTTAAATTCTCTCGCTAGCCTCGCGCATCCGGTCCCACTCTCTCGACTACTGTATCATAGTAACCGGTTCTCCCCCCACGTCTGACCGGTTTTGGGTCGCTTGTAACAGCCGGATTGTCGCCCACGCCGTGCTAGTCCTGCGGGCGGCCTTTAGTTACATCTGGCCTCACTGACACGGCAGGGAAGGGCACGAGAGCTGCTCTTTCAGATAAGCGAAGCAACGGGCGTTCTCGGTTCATATGAAATCATATGAAGCATGCATCAACGGATTTAGAAGAGGAAAGGTAGTCGAGCAAGAAACTCTGATGTGATGCCATCGCACGGCAGAGGAGGTGTGGAGGAAGCGGGCGACAGGAAATAAGAGCAGCCAAACACGAGAGCGTCGGAATTGCCACCGATGAAGGAAATATATTGGTTGGCGCTTTGGTGAATTTGCCTAAACTGGAAATACTAATGCATGAAGGGACCAAGGACTGGCGTCGGTGGACCATGAAGCCGAGACTAGGCGGACCAGGTTACCATGACATGATGTTACAATAGTACTCCTTGATAACGGAGAATTGGTCAATGGGGAGCCTGGCGCTGACTTGGCTTCTTGGTCAGGCAACCACACAAGTTGCTTCCCCCCTTCATCTGAAATCCCTCATCACTCCCAAGTCACTCCTCTCTCTCTCTCTACACCCCCCCTTCGAATCGGTAACCTTTCTGCATGCCAATCTCAGCCTCGACGCCACTTGTCGCAGCCAATCTCAGCCATCGCATGCCAAAAGACATCAGTGGCGGTCCAGAGGGAACCCTCCCTTTGGAGTTTCTCAGATGATCCTCACAAGAATGAGGCGCACGGCCAGTGCACCCAGCCTAAACAGGCACTAGATTGGCGCCGAGTGGTTTGGCCCCTGGCATCCCTGCTAGCACTGGGAGGTCGCCAAACCGGACCACCAGTGAACTAACTTGGCGCTATGATGTAACTAACAACCGAGTCTTGCATCTTTATCACCAACCCCGCGAGCCCGTGAGGGGCTTCACATTAGCCCGCGTGGGTTGCTCCACTTAGGCCTCACACGGTGGCTGCTGACTGGCTTATGCTCAAACCCGGCTGCTATTCGGGCGGAGATACCCGGGAAAATAAGGAATGGATCGTCTCCAATCAGAGGGATGGGTTGGATGTGGTATACTTGCTCCTGAGACTTATATACGACCCCGGAATCCCCTCGACGGCCGGGTTGTTTCCTCACAAACCTTGCACGGATTTTCTTCAGCGAGCGCTTGCATTTATCATTTGAACTTATCCGTCCTCATCATCCATCATGCAGTTGAAGGCTCGAGGTCCCACGAAGCTTGATCTCCGGGGAAGCCCTAGAAAGGTACTGCCCCAGGTTCTCCCGATTCGGTGGATTAAGGATTTATGGATTGACCACGTTGGCTAACACACCGACAGATCGGCTTCCAACATGGCCTACAACTGCAGCGTCAAATCAAGGATCAAATCTCCGTCTATGAGGAGATGTTCGACTTCACCTCCCAGGTAACTTGGGAGACGGTCAAGGACTATGCCAGGGAGTTTCAGGTGACCCTCCAGCGCTTGACCCCGGATCTCTACTCCGAGATGGAAGGTATCGCCGAGGGCGCCGGACTGGACGTCCTAGACATTGTTGCGCTCAACTGCCGAAGCGAGCTGGCTCTGGAGTTGTACACAAATGTCGCAGACGGCTGTACGAGTGTCTCGTGGAAGAAGACTGAGAATTCCCGACTGCTGGCACAGAACTGGGACTGGACATCTCTGGTGTCGGGGAATATCGTACTCATGTCCGTCGAGCGCGAGGGAAAGCCCAAGGTGTTCATGGTAACGGAGGTAAGATCTGACTCACCCTAGTGAGACCACACACCCTCGGACACAACATTAACAATCTCACATCAGGCCGGAGTTGTTGGTAAGATTGGATTCAACAGCGCTGGAGTCGGTGTAGGTCTCAATGCCATCAAGGCGCGTCCGTGCGAGACCTCCAAGCTCCCGATCCATGTCGCGCTGCGTCTCTGCCTGGAAAGCACGTCCGTCGACCAAGCACTCAGCACTATATCCAAGCTTGGCGGTCTGGCCTCCGCGCAGTACATCGTCCTCGCAGACAACGAACGGTCACTGGGCCTGGAGCTCTCGCCCCTGGGCGACTTTGTTCTCGAAGAAGACGACAATGGCATTGTCACGCACACCAACCACTTTATCGCGAACCGTTCGATCGGCGACGAGCCATGGCAGCCCGATTCGGACACCCGGCTGCGGCGCGTGCAACAGCTGTGCAGCGAGCTGATGGACGACGGCGTGCACGGGAAGCACGCCACGCCCGCGATCCTCCGCGACCGGATCTTCTCCGACATGTACAACATGCCCAATTCCATCTGCCGGCAGGCGGATCTCACGCGGCACCCGACGATGCGCAGCTCGACGCTGTTCAACATCGTCATGAATCTCGAGCCTGACAATTTGGGGGCCGAGGTTGTGATCGGGCAGCCGGGGTCGGGGATTGAGAGTTCTGTGGTCACTATGCCATGGGCTTAGATTAAGTTGTTCTTTCATGACTTTTCACTTTTGGAGGTTTTACTTCTTTCTGCGTTGTCATAATTAGCTTGGAGTTTAAGAGTTAGGATGGTTTACAAGGCATACCCAATTTGTGACAAATCTTTACCTATCATTATTGCTATATGAATATCTTACATCCATATACCAAAGTAACATGTACACTGAGAGTAATATCATAAGACATGCACCGTCTATCTTCACTAGTAGTGTACATGGTCACCAGGCTAGGTTCATGGGCCTCACCATATACATCACCCGCTAAGGAGGGTCATTCTCTAAAAAAATTCATATTTATTCAATTTCATCTGTCATCTATCATTTTCTATCTATTTTGTTTTTTTTCTTCAGTGAGGGGCATATACATAGTGTTGTGAGACATGCAATCAGCAAACGTCAGCTGACTTGCTGGGCTTGCCCCTATAGATTGGTTTTTTTGCTCTTCACATTATTCTGCAATCTTGCAACTGTTTGCTACCCTTTTCATACCTTTGAGAATAGAGAGTATCATCAATATTTTGGCCGTTCCATCAGTCTCCCACATATACGAAAGCAGACTTCAAATAAACACCAACTCTCTTGTATTATCATATTCGTTGGGGTACATGGGTCAGCAAAACATACAATCCTAACAGGAAACATTGTGCTGCAATAGAATAAGGGAAGTACTGTTCGGCCAGAGGAGATATCACGATACTTTGGGCCTTCGTAGGTGCCCTATATCCAGTGCGACACATTGTATCATATTCATGAACTAATCATCTGGCTTTTAGACTTAGTGTCCCACAGGCCTTGAGCTCCATTTACAATGATGAAAAAAACCGGCCCAAGCCTAATGGTGATGAGTATAATTTCTTTCAGCACACGATGCCTCCAACAGACAAAAGGTGGGTAGGCTAAATGCCTTCATGTAGGAATATACTTGACCATAACACTAGTTAGGCTATCACTTTGACTCTCTTCATATGGTGGCCTGACGATCGTCAATCCAGAGTGGGCTGACATTAGTATTTTGTCTCACACAACCTGTCAACTACCTTTTTTCATGATTACACTGGCTACCTAGCCAGGTGCAAAGTCAGAGGAGTTGCCGGACCATATCCAGAAGCATTCGCCATGAGTACCGTTCCATGGATTGATCAAGACCCCCGAGGAAGGCACGGCCGCGAAGATCCAAAACATACGGCGGGTCTATACTACCTACAAAGGCGCCACTGGTGTATTGGCAGCACGTCCTGAAGTAAGATGGGCCTTGCACTTAAAGACTAGAGAGAACTATTATAGGCCGAGTCCTAGACAAAGATTCCTTTTAAGACGTCATGGCAAAAATTGCAATACCCCGAATCTCAGAACGATTCGAATAGGGCTGAAGATATGCTGCCGTGTCTGGACTGAATCTAAATCAAGCTTGAAATCGTGGCGGGTATCTGTCAAGCTGTCAAGGGAGTGTCGAATCATGTGTCGGCCAATCCTCGGTTGTCTGCAGACACTAATGGTTGCTGTTCCAGCCAATCCTCGGTTGTCTGCAGACACTAGTGGTTGCTGTTCCAGCCAAATCCTGATATCTGGGGTTATTCGCCACTTCACATGGATGAAAATATGGTCAAAACAAGGCAGTGGCAGTGGCAGTGGAGCCACTAGATGTCGGGCTAGACCGGCTGCCGAAATATAAGGTTCAACTGCAGCGTATGTCCGCTGTTATATTTCAAACTACCACAACTTTCTTGCGGGCAATCCACTGTAAGTGACAATACCGGTAAGTTATCTGAATCAAACCGGCCGAAAGCCGAGTGCCACCAACAGATTACATAGGGAGATAATTTCCGGCCTTCGACCATCAGACCAACACACGATCCTTCACGCCCATCATTCCTATTTCGATTACTACAGTCGCCGGTCATAACGAACTGACAAACCATGCTTGCAACAACCTAGTTTTGAATCAAACCTGTTCGTGGAGATTGAGGCAGATTCCACCTGTCAATACTTCTGTTGTTTGACGTGGACGTTCCCAAGATGCCTCGCAAAATCGCCATCATCGGCGCCGGCATCGCTGGACTAGCCTCTGCCATTTCTCTCTCCAATGAACTCACGCCAAAGGTATCCGGCCTCGAGATCATAGTTTACGAGCGGTCAAAGGAGCTATCCACCGCAGGAGGCGCCATCAGTCTGACTCCCATCGCGCAGCGCCATCTCGATGACCTCGGCGTCCTATCGAAGCTCAATCAGATGGGGCCCGAGGCAGGCGTGGAAGTCGACACCATCGACCTTTTTGCCCTCAACTCGGGCCGTCATTTGGGCCCGCTGCGAGTCACAGCCTCCAAAGACGCTGGGTGCGACAACTTCAAGGGCCGTCGGGTGAAGCGCATCAGTCTGGCGCTCGCCATGGTCGCCGCCATCGAGGACTTACCGAATGTGTCGATTCTCTACGGGAAGAAACTCACCGGAGGGGACACGACAGACGACGGCGTGACACTGACCTTCGACGACGGCACGTCAGCGAGCGCGGATCTGGCGCTGGGCTGCGACGGGGTACACTCGCCGACGCGCACGCGGATCGTCGACCCCGGCAACGAGTCAAAGTACTCTGGAGTCTCGTTCGTCCAGAGTATAACCAGCGCCGTGGACGCATCGCACCCCACCCGCTCGGAGACCACATCCCTGCACATCGGTCGTCACGGGTCCATTCTGACCAGCTTCTGCGACCCCAACCGGGAGAAGCTCTTCGTTGCGGCCGTGCTCAAAGTGAACGAGCTCCTCATTGAGAGGTACTATGCCGCGTTGGAGGGGGATGCCGCTGCACAGAACAGTATGAAGATGTCTCTGCGGTATCTGGTGCGCAATCAGTCGAACAACTCTCGTGTCCCGACTCTCCGGAAGATGGTCGATCACGCGGAAGACTGGGACTTGTGTCCTGTGTATCAGGTGCGACCGGGCCGGCCGTGGCACCGTGGACGCATCATGCTGCTAGGTGATGCGGCACACGCGGTACGTTTTGCCTTACCAATTTACCCGATCTTCATATGAGAGAAACACAACTAACAGTCAACAGATGCCCCCGCGCGATGAGTCCACGACCCACGCCCTCGAAGACGCCATCATCTTCTCACGCACACTTTCCCACAACGTAGGCCAACCCATCGCCAACTCATTCCAAGAATTCGAGTGCGAGCGCCGCGCATTCATCGACAACGCCTTCGACGAGTCCTTCCACCTCTGGCAGCGCAACCAGGACCTCGCCGCGTCCCTCAACTACCTCAAAGACCCAATGTCACCAGTTTCGCGACCCGCGTCGCCCGATGTGAACGTTGATCGAATCCCGCCGCTTTCGGTTCCGATGCCGATGAATGATAGTTTCTCTGATCTGTCTGTTTGCTCGCTTACGCAGGAGTATCTCGGGAGTCATGGGATCATATAGATTGTTTATGGCTGATGCATGATGCGTTGTAGGAGTTTGTGTACTTTACCTTTTCTAGTGGGACTTGGCTTAGTTTTTTGTCATGGCTCGGCGTTTCTGGTTAGGTTAACGGTCATGAACGGTCATGAGTGGCATGAGTTACGAGATAGATCAAGATACTAGTTTTCATACACGATACGAGATTGATTATAACCTCACTTGTTGATCTATATCCAGACTACGTTCCACTGTATGCTATGTCTACTGCCGAAAGCGTATAATCATCGGAATGACGACAAGACAGAAAGAGACAGGAGAGGAAGTTTGAAAACGAGGGCCCGGGAGGGGGGGATTTTATACACCTGGGCCCCGTGACCGGCCCTTTGCCCAAGGCATCTCCAATAAGGGACTAGGAATAAATGCGATTTTGTGCACATACACGTAAATTGACCATATATCAACTCATCTATCTACAACCCAATTCAACCCGCCATCCCTAATCCCTAACCACCTTCCTTACTAACCTCCGTCGGATGCTTCTGCAAACTCTCGTACCATTGAATCCCGGAACCCACCAAGAAAGCCCACGACCCCCAAAAAGTAGCTAAATTCGACTGATAAACCGCCCCCGAATTACCGGACGCCGGGCCCAACACACCACACAGCGTGAACCCAATCCCCCCTACAAAGTTCCACATCCCAATATGCCACCCCAGAGTCCGCGGCGCCGGCACATACCACCTCTTCTGCGTCTCGATGGCAAACAGCAGTCCGCTGGCGATGAAACACGCCCCGCCTGCCATCTGCGGTACCCAGAACACGCCGTTTGTCACGCGCCGGCTCATGTGGTTGATTATGCCGGGGAGGCCTGTGAAGCCGGAGATCCAGAAGATGGTAGCGCCGATGAGCTGGATGAAGGAGGCTTGGAAGCCGATTTCGCGGATGTAGTGCTTGCGGAGTTCCGTTAGGGTCGGGAGCCAGGTGAAGGAGCGGGTGCTGGCTCTGTCTGTTTCTCTGTCTCCGGTGGATTTTTCGTCTGCGGGAGGTGCGCCATTCTCCAGACTGGCTGGAGAGGTAGAGGCAGAGGCAGAGGCAGAAGGACGGTGGTGGTGGTGTCTCATCCTCAAAAACGTCTTCCGATCCGCGTGGTGGTGAACACAGTCCTTCACGCTCGGCGCAATTCTAATAGTCTCCTTCTCAGGATGCCCTGGCCCACCACCATGAACAGCTTTCTCTAGCGCCCAGCCAAAACAATCCGTCTGGTTCTCGTTTACAGCCTCGAGGATCAAAAAGAAGCTGCCTATCTCGAAGATCGTGGCGCCCACAAACGCCGACACTCCTCCCGCGGTGAGATTTTCATTCTTGAACGTCGAGCCCGGATCTTGTAGCGGCAACCACACGAAGAAAGCGTTGATACACCAGACCACAGACCCCAGTGTGAAAATCACAGCCACAAGGTACGACACATCCCAGTACGCAAACACGGTCACCATGCGCAGGAGACCTTTCGCTATCGCTCGCGGCGCGGTCGTCCGCCGCGGTAGGATGTATACGACCTCTGGTTTGGGCGGTGGTGGTGCTAGCGGTGGATGAACGCGGATCGCATGACGGCCTTTTCTGTTATCGCGGGATCGCCAGATATGCTCAATGCGCGGTTTCTGGTCTTCGCGGGGGCGGTGGATGTGGGGTTCTTTTTCCTCGTGTGGTGGTGACGGTGGTGGATGGGGCTTGTGTAGCTTTGCGCGCGTGGGGTTGAGAAAGGATATGGGACCCCCGACGTGGGTGACCTCTGTCCCTGGGGAGGTCCGATACCGAAGGATGGATCTTCGGGGCATGGATGGTATTGTCTGGGGGGTTTGGGTGTTGAATTTATCAGGGAATGCAGTACACTGAGAAGGTTAAGTTACGTTGAGAGACGATGCTGTTGGATGATGACTGGCTGGGTGAAATTGACTTTCCAGCATGTGGGTGCATGGTGGTGATGTCGTACGACTTGGAGTATGTTTGAACAGATGATACTGTCTAAATGCTTTGCTTCGATCTCAATGAAGGGATAAATGTGAAGTCAATCTATAGGAAATAGGAGAACGCATCAGTCGATATTTCTGTCTCATCGTGTTCAACAAATACCATCATTGCATCCAAATTGTCTCTATCACAATAATCAGTAGTATAGAAAGCAAAAGTCAGACGGAGGATGACTGACATCATCACTTTTATACATACAACCATACAACTACAACCAGCATTCCAACCCCGATGACTAATGCAATATTTACCATGATATACTCGCTCACCGCACGATATTATTGGTTTGCATTCTAATATAGTAGGTAATTTTGAAATTATAGGATATCATTCTAGTATGAAATGCTCACGGTGCACTATTCTAGGCATAGCTTTGAGGGTAAATGTGGGTCCGGGTATCAAGCTGTCGACATTAAGCGGAGAGGAGTAGGGCTACCATGATGGGAGATGGAATTGTCCGGCTCATGAGACAGGGATTTGTTTTCATGTCTGGTGACTCTTCTTATTGAATGGATTGCTCTTCATTGATTTGATCTCTGAGCAATCGTATTGTTCATCTTATTTGCTATATTCTATCTATTGAATTTGCACTAGACCTTAGGGCAGCGTCATATCACCAATCATATCGACAATCTGTCAGAACCCCATCTGAAAGAGGGCGAGAACAGAAAACTAGCAATCTCGTCTATACCGCCAATAAAGACCCCCCAGCGCAAACGCCCCAACGGCGGTAAGTTCCGGAAGCCAATAAGGCAAAGACGTGTCCCTGCCAGCATGAGCCTGATACAGAAACGGCGATACGCAAATATACGCCTGGACGGCGAGAAAGATAAGCGGGACGATCGTCCACACGCGGAACTGATCAGGGCCATAGGAGACGGTTCGCCGAATGCGAAACAAGCCCAGCACAACCATGGAATTGACCATTGCCCATTCGTATTGGTTGATATCGGTTAGGAAGACATAGGCGTCGCCTTAACAAGCCGTCAGTACTTGGTACAGATGCAGCCAGAGAGAGAAAGGTGTGACAAACCAAAAGGCACAACAGCAATAGCCACAGACGCAGCCACAAACACAAGAATGTACGCGTTCGCAGCAGGCGTCCCATGTATCGTTTCACGAGCAAAGAACCTCGCAGCGGGGATGACACCCTCGACAGCCAGATTGCGCGCCACGCGCGACATCGTGAACGAAGAGGTCATGAGCGTACCATACGTAGACAGCGCCGCAAGAGCAGCAGCGATGCGGCCCGCACCGCTGCCAAACACCTTACCCAACAAGACGGCAACAACTTTGACCCCGGAATTGCTGATCTCTTCTGGCGATGCGACGATGAAGTAGGAAATATTCGTCAGGAAATATAGAATGCCCACTAGTCCCACGCCTAGTATGCCGGCCAGCGGCATTGTCCGGCGCGGGTCCTTCACTTCGTCGAGGACATACGCGGCGTTGTTCCAGCCTTGGTAGGTCGTGAAGACTTTGAGGAGGGCGGTAGCGTAGGAGTAGAGATCCGTAGATGATCCTGCAAACGGGCGGTGGAAGCTGGAAGTCGGCTCGGGCACGCTGGGTAGAAAGCCACATAGCGCGATGAGACCCGTTAGGATGACGAGCACTAATATGAAGACCTTCAGTAATCCCAGGTAGTCCATGAAGCGAACGCTCCAGTCGCGCCTGGTAAGGTGGAGGCCGATGATGGAAGCGATCACAGCGACAGAAAGGACGCGCTTCGTGGAATCACTAGCCGAAATATCGACCGCGACGAGAAGGTTCTCAGAGACAACGACACTGCCGAGTCCGCACAGCGCAAAGATGATAAAGAACCCATACAAAGTCGTGATCAGACGAGGCGGACGGGGGTATGCGACCTCAAGGTATAGCTTTTCTCCGCCGCTGCGAGGCATCAAGCAGCCCAGCTCGATCCAGACGAACAGCCCGCAAAGCGCGAGTCCGAGTCCAACAAGCCATAGCGAAAGACTAGCGCCGACGCTGCCGACGCTTTGGATGATGAAGGAAGGAACGGAGAAGATGGCCGCGCCGATCATGCGATTTGTCCTCGGGTACAAATTAGCTTTGGCAGGAGGATCATTATGCACAGCGCGCTTGACGCGTCGCGTCGCTTACAGGAGAAGCGCCGTGGAGAGAAGCCCCAAATGGCGCTTTTTGTCTTGATCATTTTCCACAAACACCCGACGCTCCTCGTGGGATAGAGACTGGTTGGCGCTGAACAGGAGTTGTTGTGTTTCGGGGACGTCCGAACCCAGGGGTCCTTGTGGAGTCATGACCATTCCCGGCCAATAAACCGATGCGACAAACTGGACGCTGAACAGAAGGCGTGTGGTGTGATATTGTGGTGGTTTGAGGGTGTAATGAAGACCCTCATGGCTTTGTTGTTCTCGTCTTTTGCCAACTGTCAAGTTTGCTGGGTTTCTGCGTCTCATCTCAACTGCACCTGCTGCATGCTGGCTGACATAATCACTTTGTGCCATAAATATGAACTATCAAGGGTTGTTGTTTGGTCCAATTTCAATCAACAGCGATTAGGTTAGGGAGTTCTGCTCTTGTTGCTTGTAAGCATGCATGGGTCAAAACCATGTGTTGTAGCTGCATGATATATATAGCTTAGCTTGAGTACTCATGGTTGATTGGTCTTTGATTCTTTTCCACGGGGTCTTACGCTACTATATATACTATAGCAGTCACTTAGCTTGGTCTTCAAACAGTCTTTCAAAAGGTAATATTACCCCTACATTTGATAGAGTAGCTCATAGAATCTCCATACCAACGGCAGCTTCTTCGCCCATAACAGATTGAACAACAATCAACCGTCCCCCCCCGCTTTTCTCAGCCGCCAAAATCCTCATCCCAAGAGCACCTTTCGGAAGAGGAACATCGTTCCTCTCAGAGCCATCTGACGTGGCTAGACAAAGATGCTGGCCTTGTATCGATCTCTGTGTAATATGAGTGAGCATATCGTTTTATTGAAAGCACAATATCAACTTCACTAACCAATTGAAACTTGGTCATCGTAACGACCGGAATATCCATGACATCTGTAGACAGGAACTCTTGCACCCTGCGATCACCCGAGAAGATATCATCTCCCTCTATCAGGACTTTTTGACACTCCCCTTGAAGTGAAGTTACTCTTATGCTGGAAATTCGGCATGGGCGACCATTCACAAAGACAAAGTCGTTTTCCTGCAGCTCGGAGCACAGCTTCGTGCGGAAAGCATAGATCTGACCCGTACATTAGCATCGACATATCCTGGTCGTCGACCATGGGGAAAGTTTGCGTTGTCTACCGAATCGTCTGTCATGTTTTCACCACTATGAGGGGGGACTTTCGCGGGGTGTAGTTCTACATCGATCAAGTCAGACACAAGAAAGGCCCCAAGGAGAGAATGACACCAAAAGCTCCAGTAATGGGAGCCAAACGGCCCAAAACCCACAGCACTGGAAAGACCAAGAAGTAACGGTCGAGTCGTCATAGCAACAGCATCGAGCCAGTGACCTGAGCGCTACACGTAACTAACTTAACTACACTATAGCGCCCAGGAAAGTCAAGTCTGGGCGTCGGCGGGTGTGTCCTCTACTGTCAAAGTGTTGTATTATATACTAATAGTCACAGTTCAATGCGTCTCAATCAGTACCCATCATCCCATCCAAATAACGCTGCTCAAGACGAAGACGCATGCCGAATCATCCCTACCAACTCCTCATACTCCCCCGTATTCCTCATCATATCCCAAAACACACCCCTCTTCTCCACCAACTCAGCCGGAGAGCCATTCCTATAACAGTATTAATCAGTACCTCTGTGCAACAAATTATAACCCCCCACAAAGGGAATAAGGCTTACTCAACAATCTCCCCATCCGCCATGACCAAAATTCGATCATAATCCATAATCGTCCGCAGCCGATGCGCAATCGCGATAATCGTGCAATCGGGGAACTGGTCGCGCAACACGCGCTGCATATGCAATTCCGTCTCGTGGTCGACGGAGGCGGTCGCCTCGTCGAGTAGGACGACTTTCGAGCGGCGACACATGGCACGCGCGAGACTGAGGACTTGTCGTTGGCCTTGGGAGAAGTTCTCGCCGTTGGCCGCTACTGGAGATTGTAAGGAAAGTTGACTATTTCTTCTATCGGTGGTTTCGGGACCATGGTCGTGGTCATCGTGGTTGTTGGTATGGATGGAGGCGCACGCTGATAAGGCGGATTGGAGCTCTGTTTCGCTGGAGGCACCAAATGGGTCGAGGTTGGATTGTACATCGCCGGAAAAGAGAACTGGCTCCTGTGGGATGAGGGTGACGCTTGAGCGGAGACGGTGCAACAGGAGTTGGGTAATATCCACGCCATCGATTGTCACGCTACCACCCACGAGGTTGACAAAACGCAGTAAAAGGAGCCCCAGGGTGCTCTTCCCACTTCCGGTGCGGCCGACTATCCCGACGCGCTCCCCCGAGTGCGCGGCAAATGAGACTCTACGAAGAACGTCCGGCCCGTTCGGTGTGTAGCGCGCCGTAACGTTGCGAAACTCGACCCGCCCTGACGTAGGCCAGCTGGCTGGGGTACTGTCTGCTATCTCTGTGCGACGGGCCTTGTCGAAGGTTTCTTCCGGCTCAACCTGGCAGTATTCTCGCACACGCTGGAACGAGTTCAGTTCCACTTCGAGCTCATTCATAGTGCGGACAAGCGTCAGGATCGTCTGGCTGAAGCCGATAGCGTTGGTCAACGAGAATCCAACTAGGCCAGGCGAACCCGACCAAAAGTACGCGACGCACCCTGCGGCCGCTGATACGAATGCCGCGCAAAAGTCTGTTCGGACGGATACCCATCGATTGCAGTTGTATTGGGCTTCTGCAGAGCGGGCGTGCACGGCCAGCTTCTTGGCCAGAAGCCTTTGGAAGGCCTTGTCCATGCCTTGCCGGGCCCGAATGACGCTGATGCCTGACAGAGAATCGGTAAAATGGGAGAAAATAGGGGAGTAATTGACCGAACAAAGCCTTTTTATGGAGACCTGCGCACGGGTGTACATCTCACCGATGAGGAACCCAGCCGTGCAGACGACTGCAGCGGGAAGCGCAAAGATAGGCATGATAGACGCAACACTAGCTATGCGGAGCAGAAATCGCAGACCATTTTCCATCGACATACGCAGCCAATCGATGATAAGTGCATCGATGGAACGCATGTCGTTACCGAACCGATTGACCACTCTCCCGACGGGGTTTTCGTCAAACCAGGATATAGGCGCAGACAAAACAGCTGTCACCAACTTTTTGTGCATCGTTCTCGCAGCGGCCCAGCCTCCATACTGGTATATGAGGTTATTGGTAAGCTGCAAAACGAGAAACGCTGTGATCGCCGCTCCGTAGACCGTAAGATAAAAGACATTGTTCTGGTTGCCGTTTTGCCCATTGGCCTCTGTCCATACTGAAAGCCAGTACGTAATACCAAAATATGCAAGTTGTACCGCCACCGTTGCTAAGATGGCTAGTGGTGCGTAGAAAATTCCACCAAAAAGCTTCATATACTGAAAGACTAAAACAATTTTAGCAACCGACCATTGACACTGGGAGCTCTCAACTTACACAATGAACGCGGCACGCGGCCTGTGGCAGATTGTTCTTTTGCAACTTTGTCTGTTTGGTCACTGCCATCCACTCGGGGAACTGGCGTAGCTTCAGTTGGCGGCTCTGATGGGGCGTCATGGACTTGATCCTGAGCCAGTAGCATATTGCCGATCTTGGTATTGGTCTGCGTGCTCGGCGTGCTGCATCTTGTAGATTCAAGAGACGCTGAGCATAGGAGGGAAGATGTTTTAGCAGGAAAAGATCTTCCATGCTCCAAGCGGATCGCCTGTTGGGCATCTTGCAGGGCAGCTGGCAAGTGTGTCACAAGCACAACCGTTCTGTCAGAAAGCAGACCACTGCGGAAGCATTTCTCGTAGACGAGGGATGTAGTATGGGTATCGAGAGCAGAGAATATATCATCTAATAACAATACCGGCGAATGGGAATACAACGCTCGTGCCAAAGACACTCGTTGTTTTTGGCCCCCAGAAAGTGAGGTTCCCTTCTCCCCGACCAAAGTGAGATCGCCAGCGGGCAGCTGCTGGAGATCCTGCGAGAGACCGCTCGCTTCGATGATTTTTGCATAGCGATCCTCGTCGAATGGACTATAGAAGATGACATTCTGGCGGATGGTATCATTCTGAAGCCAAGCCGCTTGGGGGACATAAGCTACATCTCGCGGACAGGTCGCAGATCCGGATTCCAAAACGGTTTCTCCCAGTAACGATAGAAGTAGCGTAGTCTTTCCGCTTCCAGTTGGACCTGTCACCACATTGAGGGCATGGGGCTTGAAGGAAACGGACACCTCCTTTAGCCTGAAAGCAGCAATAGGCGTCCGTCGAAATGTTGCCTGCGTGAGCTCCAATGGCCCTTCCGAGTGGCGTTTGATTTCCCCAGCGGACTCGAAAAACCGATCAACGCGCCGCAGAGATTCTGCGCCCTGAGCAGTGTATCGGCTTACGTTGGACAACCACACGAATTGCGATCGTAAAGCCTCCATGATTGTCACGGATGTAAATGCTACCGGGGCCCTCAATGTGCCATCGGTAAAAATCACAAAGGCCGAAAACGTGACCAGCAAGCTCACCAAAGGTAGCAAATCCCCGGCCATAGAGATAGCCGCAGCGTAAACACTCCGTTTCCAGAGGCGGTCTTGCTCAACCTTTCGGGCATCATTGATCGTATCCATGGCCGCATGCTCCCAGCCAAAATACTTAAGTGTGCGGATTGAAGCCAGATACTCCGACACTCTTGACAAGCGGGCATCTGTAGCTCGCATGACAGACTGCTGAATGCGTGAGACTTTGCGCGACGCGAAGGCAGGGAGGGGCGTTAAGAACAAGAGCGTTAGAACTCCAAATAGCGACGGCCAGCCTAGTAATTTATACAAAAATACCAAAGCAATAGTGGTCGATATGGGGCTAGCCGTGGCGACGTAGAAGATATCCCGGGAATTGTAGATGGCATCCACATCGTACGACATAAGGCTGGTCAAGTTGGCCTGTCTAGACTTCGACGTTCTCTTTGATGTATCTGCCGGCTTTCCATCTGCCTTTTGTGCTCGGTCAACCGAATCCCGTATTGAATCGTCATATATGTGCGAGCGCATTGCGGTCTGGTATATCTCCTGGACAAGGGATATATTCACTCTAACCAAAAGCCGAGTGGCAGTGAAGATATACTGTTGATAGCATAAGGACCGTAGCACGGGCCCAAGAAACAGCAAAGATATCCAGATTGCGGGATGGACAATCGCATCATCGCGCGCTTCTAAGTATGCTAATAGGCCTAGCATGGAAAATGGCGCAACGAAATCCATAACTGCAGTGGCGGCAGACCAGCACATCATGGTCTTGATTTCAGTTTTCAATAATCGAATAAGAGTTCGGAAAGTTTTCCCGCCTTTCTTGCGCTGCGTTTGTATTTTTTTCAACCATAACGACGGTTCATCATATGAAGGCAATGGAGGCAAATCTTCCATCGTTAATTCCTTGCGACAACCTCGCAAGATCACATAGGTGACCCATTCATACGACCAATAATATGAAAACAGGGAGCACGTTTCCTCCGGTGATGCCCCGATATCCTCTACGCATAACTCTTCAATCTCTTCGTTATGCACGAGAGGACGACGCGGTCGCGGTGTTCCCAAGGCGATGAACACCACAGCAGCCAAACATGTTATCAATGCGACCCGGATAGGACTAAGGAGATATTCCGTCCCTATGATCGCTAGGGGCGACAAATGCTGAACAATTTCCAAAACCAACGCAACGAAAGCAACTGCATTCATATGGCGGTAGAGATGGGCACGATAGCGGCTATTGGTGAAGCAAAACCGCAGCAGGCCCAGCAAGAGCATATAGCTCAGCAACACCGATTGCCTCCAGCTGGCTCTCTGGTGCATCTCAAGCCAGCTGAGAACGCACGCTGCAATAGCGACAGCCAGATGCGCAAAAGCAAACGGTAACGACTCGGCAATTTCCAACGAAACAGGGAAATCATCCGGCCGAGCTTGCCGTTTTGATTTGCAAGAGCGAAAGACATAATGGCGACCTATGGAAAGTAACAGCACGACGCACGATATCAAAAAAGCAACTGTATGCAGGCTCCCGGTCGCCACATAGGCGGAGACATTCTGCGCACGGCGTTGCCAAAGATGTCTGAATCAATTCTTAGCAACCGAACTGGCAAACTTTATATGAATTGACTCGAACGTACCTTTGCAGTGCGCCACCACTCTCTAAAGCGCTAGCAAATTCATTATTTGAGACATCTGAGACCGGGGGACTTAAAACATGCTGGACAGCCCCGGAAAAGTGCTCCATTGTCGCTGATCAGACGGTGGGACACCCAACAAAGGATACTGGTGTCAATCATGGAAATGTGGCCCACGTCAGGTCCATTGATGACGAAGAGACGGGTTGTTAGTGCTAAGCAAGTGTCCCAGTCTCTTCTGCTATTGGGCCTTGCTCGTTGAAGGAAGCGGGGAGACATTCATCATCCTGCCATTGAGACAACGCGACCGGACTGCAAGTACAATGGGGATGATTATGAAGGTGAATGGGGGAATTGACAATGCAATTGGGGAAATTAGACGGAGAGATGATAGGGACTTGGCGGCGGAAATCTCTGTGAAATCATGGATCGTGGAGACAGAAAGGAAGGAACTTTTGGGTCGAACCGGAGTTGAGATTTGGAACGGCCGTCGTTGATCTGATAAGCGGGGTTGGTGCCTCAGGAGTCACTTTATACTATCCAGAAGAATCAAGAACTAAACATACTACAGACCTATGATTAAGCATGATAAAGCATTTGAGAAGGCAGCTAAATACTATAGATTGTATCAAGAATAAGGCCAGCTCTAAACACAGAAATACAGTCAATCAATCTATAACAAGCCTAGATCACCCATATCACCAATCTCTCTCCAGCCGGCTGGTCCTCGACTAAATCATGAGCCCTCTCAGTTCTGCGCCGGAGCCCCTGCAAGTAAGTAAAGGATTACGTTTGCTTCAATTCTTCTTGACACGGCGGTATGCCCCCGTTTCTGTAAAGCCACAGCCGGCTGAGATCCTTTACCTTCAATGGTCTTCCACTAACCGGGTTGCCATGATTATTGGACGGCACTGGCCCCGACGCATTGGGAGTGACTTGGACTGACGAGCCTTCTCCGTTATTATCTCCTTCTTTGTGGTTTTCACCAACGTCTCCAGCCGACGCAGGAACGGCCATATCCACCTCCGTCTCCATAAACTCATTCGTCTCCAAAGTCTGCATATCAGGCCCCAAGGGAAACATACTATCCATATAGTGCTGGTTCAACAAATGCCCCGGCCCAGACCGCACAAACAACCGTCCCATGTATCGATTCGGGACGTTGATAAAGTTTACCACGCCCCAGAGACCCACGAAATCCTTCGAGTTCACATAATGCTCGATATGGCAGATACTCTTCCCATCCTGCTGAGCAGTGCGCTGCGAGTGGATCAAATCTGCGCGCTGGGACTTCGTCGAGCGGAAATCTTGCACTCGTCTGAATGGATTGTTGAAGTGGTTGGCTGCATTGCCGAAGGTGTAAACTTCGAGATTACAGAGCAAGTCTTGAGGCATTTCGTCCAGTAGCCAGTCGATGATTAGACCTCCTTCGATGCCGCCCTGGCTGTGGAGTATTAGGACCACTTTGTCGATCTCCAGGTTTAACAGGGCCTCTTTGATGATTGCGTATGCTTCTCGTACGTCTTGGGTGGCGTAGGAAAAGCATCGCTGGATTAAGCATTCGATGATGTCAAAGACAATACCAAATCTGCACAAGTCAGCCTGATATTGAAAGAGTCGTCATGGGTAAAAGCCTACGTCCTGTTATGGACCCCGGTGATTCTTCTGCCGAATGTATATGCCAATCGATCAAGATGCTGCTGCATCCAGTGTTGCCTTATCAAATTAGCATGTTTCCAATATGCACCAGTAAACCGAACAAAAAAAGATAAGAAAAAGATACGGATATCAAGGGTAGGAAATCGATCGAAACCAAAAAGAAAGAAATAAAACCCACCCAGCAGCAACCCCATTAACATAAACCCAACACTCCCTCTCATGCTCCTCCTCCTTATCCACATCCACACCCGACCTCAAAACCCTCTCCTCCCCATTCAACACCCTCCCACAAACCCAATAATTAACCCCCACAACAGCAACCACATAGACAAGCACCCACAGCGCCGGCACCAAGCAAAGCACACACACCACCAACGAAACCAAAAACAGCAACTGCGCAATCACAAGCACGACATGCACCGCACCGCACCATATGTTCTGCCGTGACGGATACGTCTCATCTAGCGCGCCGCTCTTGCACGGCCACAGGGGCGAGAACAGCCAGCGCACGCTCGCTAGGTGGTGAATTACCAGGACGATGTCTGAAGCGAGGAGGCGCAGGGGGGAGGATGTATAGGGGAGGGGTGTCTCGTCTGGTGAGCCTACCTGGGAGGGGAGGAATGATACTGAGGGCATTGTGGATGTTGTTTGGTTGGTTTATTGTGTGGAGTATTTTGCTTTGTGGGGGAGGAGTCTTTGAAGTAGACGGTGGGGTGAAGAGATAGAAGTGAAAGATAATAGCATGTGTTATAGGCAGATGTTTTGCAAGTTCAGTCCAGGTCCACCTGATCTAGGATAAGTCGATCAACTGATAGGCGGGGAAGGCGCCAATGTCGCACTTGGTCCAGGGTATCGTGTTCGGGTTTCGCATCCATGAATGTGATGCTCTTATTTGAGCCCTATATGCTGGAACTTAAAGTGTCTTTGAAACTCAATCTCAGTGCGAAACGGGTTCTTCAGCAGCTAGATACTAGGGTGCGGGTTCTAGGTTGTAGCTTCACATGGTGCCATGTCACTCAGGGGCTTTATACCACTAGCGAGAAAATAAACAGTCTATTGTCATCGTCTTGTTTTGCTCACAGAATGACGTACTTGATCGACAACTTGTCGGATAATATAGGGATTCTTTATGCTCCTACTATCCTCTTTGTGGAATGTCTATTGCTCTCCCAATACCCCTACAAAGAAGGTTCCACGGGCGAATACGAACTCTGCACAATGATCAAAGAACAACATTATATAAAGAGCCTCTCAAGCATTCATCCTTTGTCCCTACATACTTCTTCATGGACCATCCCCTCCAATAAGTATCAATGTTCTCCCCATGAAACCCATTCCTCGAGAATGTCATTGTCGCAGCCACAAAGACACCCTCACAAAGCCAAAGACACAAAGATATAAATTTCGCAGTCTCCCACATCTAGACCCCTCCCATCCAATTTATCTATACCCGTAAGCTAGCTAAGAATGTTTTACCTCATACCACATATAACCCCCAACCCCAACCCCAACCCCAGCAGACATCCACACCACAAACACACCAGACTAAGGCCCAACCACCATGCAACGGGCCCCAGCCCGCCCAGTCCTCCCGAGGTACCCATTTACGCTAACAGACCTCACCAAAGCCGATCTAAACATGCTAATCGCCGCCCTAGCCGCAGACAAGACCAGCGACAGCAAGATCAAGTCCGCCGTCAGACATCTCCCGCTGGCCCTGCGGCGCAACTTCATGGTGAAGCTGGTGAAGAACCCCGTCGTGAAGCCGGCCGTGCTCTGCGGCTTGCACAAGAGCCTCAATCCCTACATTATCAACCATGTTCTCAGTCTCGTGAAGCGCGAAGTCACGGTGCATCTGGGCTGCCTTGACGCGTACATGGAACATCTGGCTCCCGAGATGAAGTGTGTGATGCGGTCTATTGGGGCGATGAAGGGCATGTGGTGGGTTCCTTCGGCTGCGGAGTTGGAGCCGCCTGTGGGCGCGGTGAAATCCCAGGAGAATGGCTGTGAGGCGTGCATGTTGGCGCGGGTTGTATCCCAGCCGGTGTACATGACTGATCTCCGCGGCGCGTTGTTGAGTCGCACGCGGACGAGAAGAAGTACCCATCGGGCACCAAGGCTGTTGGCCTTTGTTGATAGCGCGATCAATCGTCAGAGAGACGCGGCAGAGCTGTTCTATATTAGCGGCCAAGTGGGTTTTGAGCTTAAGAAAGCGAGGAAGCAGGCGACCAGGTATTTCAGGAGTGCATTGAAGGGACACAGAGATTGTGAGCCAGCGAAGAGCGAACATTCGATTATCGTGTACCTGGATCAGAACACAAAAGATCCAAGCACTGGGCCAGAGCATGTTCGATATGGCGACACAGGATACGATCCCAGATACGATCCAGCCTCACCAGGAGCCACCTCAGACTGCGACGCGATAATCGAAGAAATCATCATGGCATACGCCAGTTTCACGGACGGGAAGAGTTTCCACGGCAAAAACTTACCCCCTGTGGACGACTCGATCGACGTGCCCTTCGTCAGCCCCCTATCCGTCACTAAGTACACGGGATCAAGCTACTCGTCGTCTGAACTAGACCAACCGCAAATTGATTTCCATCCGGGCAATTTCCCGAGAGAAATCGATTGGAACCATATCATCAGCCAACCCAGTCCCTTGGAAGCATTGAAAGAAGTAATGCGATCTATCATCGAAGAGGATCCTCGCTGTACGGCGTTATTCGAGAGTGAGGAGCCTGCAGTTCGCTGCCGCGAGCTTATCGACACATGGTTTGAACGTAATAGGATATCCGAGTATGAGGATTGCCCCGTAGATGAAGAAATTGGGCCTGCGGGCAGCACTTGGGACCTCGTATGCAGATAGCGATAATCCACCGCAGTCATACTTCCTCGGTTTTAGAGTCGGTAGGATGAACGGTCAGTTTGGATCCAGGTGGTTATGCTGTCATTTGACATGGTCATGTGCGTATATCCATTGTTCTGTCAGCACCCGCAAGCTCTCACCTGATATTGGGTTTCGATTGAGAGCTAGGAAAAAACAGAACTAATATGGATGGCGGCGGCTATACCCCATCTACCAAAATGGTCCATGCCAAAGAATATTATAGAAACTAGGTACAGTAAAAGTGATCGTGACAATATAGGCTATCGGTCTGGGTCAGCCCGATTATTAATACAGCAGTAAGATATGCAAAAGACAGTATTGACCTATGGTGGTCAGGAGGCGCCCTGCAGCTCCCAAATTTGGACACGGGTCCAAACACAATTAATACTTGGGCAAGAGAAGAGAAATTTAAACGACGAAGCATAGGGGATTAATTTTATAAGACACTGCTGGTCACCCCGTGATTCACCCCCTTGACGCTGGGAGACGAGAGACTCGGGGCCTTGCGACGCAGGCGGGACCGGGTGTCGGGCGGATTTTCAGGGGAAACGACCGCCGGAGAAGCCGCGACATCGGCTTTGGCCGCGGCGGCTTGAGCCGCCTCGTGATCTACTTGTTGCTGGGAGGTGATCCGGGAGCGTTCATAGCGGGAAGTCACATCACCCCTCCATCGCGTTTGCAAAAGGCCATCCCAGAAGGTGAAGAACGGCTGCGAGAAGTTGGTCTTAATGCCCCAGCTCTGATGATGGATATCATGATACGCAGCATTATTCGAGGTGAAGTGCTGCAAGGGATCCCAGGGGAAGTGGTAGCCGGAGTGATCATCCACCGTCTTGATGGTACTGAAGGTGAACAAGAACATCGCTTGCCGGTTGTTCATGTGGGCCGTGAGAAATGCAACACCAGTACCAGCGGTGTCCAGGAGGAATCCCTCAACAGGGTGATTGTAGAGCGCACCAAACGCATAGGGAACATAAAGGCGGTGATGACGCGAGTGGAAGGTGACTAGACAGATATTAGACCGAGCTCTTCAAAAAGACGTGTAGTGGGTAGCGGGTACGCACCATATAACCAGCGATTCAAGTGCATCGCACGGTGAAGGAAATACTGCCATGTGTCGATGACAAATACAGCCCAGACGAATTGCAACCCGGGGATCAAGTACCAGTAGATGAGGCTGGCAGCCGCCAGTTCCCAGCCAGTGAAAGCGGGGACTGTGGCCTCCACGCCATTCTCCGACACCATCGACTGAGTGACGGTGGGATAGTATCCCCCCGCCATAGCCCCACCAAGCATCGTATAGCCATTCTGGGACAAATTCTTCGCCAAGCTTGTTGCGTCGATACCAAACAAGCCAAGCATATAGGGGAAGCTCCTCTGCAGCACACGGAGACGACTAGCCCATACAGCAACATCGTAACCCTCTTTTCCGGTGAATTCCGGCTCATCAAAGTACGACACCGAAACGCCGGCAATGGTCTGCACGACCTGTTGGAAGACGACATCCCTCACTACCTCCCATCGTGACACATGGTTGCGCTTGAGGAGTTCGGCTGGCGTGTGTAACCGGTACTGCGGGAAATAGTCGTTGACATCGATATAATGGAAGATCATCGATAAGCCCCAGTAGGCAACGATCGGTAGGATGAGGGCTAAGAAGTTGTCGGGAATCGGGGCGAGAACCGGCACACGGGGGGTTAACGTATACGAGGGAAGCGGCGGAAGGTCGTAGGCTGACGCATTGACCGCCATGGCGGAGAAACAGACGACGAGGCGTCGCAGGTGCGATCGAAGGTGGACGTAAGACTATCTGATGAGGGAGAATGAACGCATCTGTTCGTTCCGACAACGGCGAAAGAACAGACTGCGGCCTAGTATTCCAAGTCGGGAGTATCCAATAAAGAAATCGACACCGGTGGCGTTCTGCAAAAGATGTAGGGTCGCCGAAACGTAGAGTGGTGGTGGTGTTGTTGTCGTGGTCGACGAGCGAGGCGTCAATGGAAGGATTGATGATCGGATCGAAGCCTTCCCAGAGCGGCTCTCAATCAGGGGAAGCGCGGACGGCGGGCGATCCGACGGCGGAGAACCTACGGACCCCAAATGTAACGAACAACGATGAGAGAATTGACAAAGGAAATCAAAGGAGAGTGTATGGCGATAAGAAGGCCGGTAAGATGTGGGAGAAAGAAGGAATGAATAGGTTAAAGTAGTCCAGCATCCAAAGAGGAGACCAGGGTTCGGATGGAAGAGGACGGATCGCAGTTGAACCTCAGTGGCACCACAAAGAACCGGCGGCAATCTAATCAGCCATCAGTCATCTGTATTCATCGATGTATGGTATTTATGGCGTATTCAGATTACGCATTTACCAGGCCGTTCTTACGACAAAGATGGGTTATAATACTGGTATAATTCTGTAATCATTTCTCCAATGATACGGTATTCACATGATGATCGTTGCTTATTGATACCTGGCAGCCTCATTCTTCAGGCAGCATCGGTTGGATCCGACAGTGCATATACAGTATGCATCATCCCTCGTTCTACTGCCTCCAGTCGGATGATATCTATTATATCCGATCATATGAAAATGACAAGGACATCTAGACATTTGCCATCCGTCTTACCTATTAAGACGATTGACTTGATACTACCCAACAAGGACACTACTCAAACGAACCGACCAGTCTCGAACAGGAATAGTGCCGGTCATTCCACCCAAAAAAATCCAGCAGGAAAAATACAGAAGAGAAAAAAA